ATTAAAAAAATAAGAGATCATAAATGAGATTGAAAAATGATTCTTCTAAGAGTGTTAAACTTCACCACATTCATTTCGTTGGTCCATGAAAGACATTCCTATGAGATAAAAATTCTTTTTGATTTTTCTAAGAGTGTGAAAAGTCATTAATTTTTACAAGAATCAAGTCTATCCATCGATATATTTACTTGTCGATGCTTCGCCGTATTAATAACATATACGTCAATAGACCGGCAGATCATACAACTAGTGCATTTGCAAAAAATGATAAACATAGCTACTAAAGTCAACAACTCTTTTAGCAAAAAAAGAGTATAGTTGCATGATCTTTTAGCAAAAAAGAAAAGAAAGAAAGTCATCCACTCACAAAACGTGACGTAGTTGCAAATAACAAAACAAAAATTATAATGGTAGTCACACACAAACCATAAAGATACAAATTAGAAGTTTGGAGGAATCGTTTATTAATCTTGGAATCTCATGAAATTGTTTCAAACTCTAACTCTCTAGTATAACCACTATTAAACAGACTCCATAAAAAAGCGAAACTTATACATACTTAGCAATGCATTGTCACCAACCTCTCAGAATTCAAGAAGCGGGTCTAGGATTGCAAGAGTCTACTAGAATACGTCCCGGGAAATAGCCAACAACTGCTCGATAAGGTTTGGTCTGATTACCATCAAAAGGATCACTGACTTCGAACGAGATGTAGAAAGTGGCTGCAGCAGATGGATGAAAGTTTGCCCTTAAAACTTTGCTCAATTCCAATTTTGTATTCTATATATACCACCAAAACCAACACAAAGCAATTAAATTTCTCAATAGAAGAGTCATGCATATATAGATGCATGGAAAAGATAAAAAGAAATTTATTTCCTAATTACCTTTTCTACGTTGTACTTGGCGAGAGCCACATTGCACAACATGGCGATTAAATCTCTGTTGTTGGTTTGATCAGGCTTGTCTTCTTCAATCCATGTATCATCGTCAAGATCCAATTGTTGCCAGTCGAAACAGAAGGTAAATTTCGAAAAGTCCATCTCATAACCCTAGCCAAATATAATCAGTTTCGAAACCAATCATTTTGAGTTAGAGAAATAAAAAATCGAAACCCTAACCTGGCTCTTATCGTACTCATCATATAAGCGTTAAATTTCCTCCGGCGTACCCATATCGGAATCGTCCGAATCGCTGTCGTCGGCGGTTGTCTCTTCCGTCTTTTGACGTTTCGGGGAATGAGGAGGATCGGATCTCGTCTCATCGATCGGTGAATGCATCGCTGATATATATTCGGGGAACAATAGAGACAGAGACGATGCGGAAACCCTAAGAATATTTACTTGCAACGTTTTACGAATGATGAAATTTTCAATTTGAAAAACCCTTTAATCCAACAAAACAAAAATTGTATGTCAATTTTTTACGTCAAATTAATATTAACAAACATATTACTTTTAGGAGATATTCCTATTTTTTCTTTTTAAAATATTACAATAAATCAAAATGTGTATCTTTTGAAACCATATGTATGAGCGTTTTACAAGTAGCGAAATAAATATAACTACACAGAATAATGACACTCGCACCAAGTACATACTATATTTCTTTTAATTTTGGATGATCAAAACCTTAAATCTCTGAAATACATATATACATTCACACACACCACTCATCAATTTTTTATGTTGATAAATATGCTTGTATAGTTGCAAACGATAAGGATCTTTTGATAGATTTGAAGTATATGTATGCTTTTTTTTTTTTTTTGTCACAAGAAGTAATGTATGCTTATTGCTAAACTTTTCATAAAGAACCTGGACACGTCAAAAGGATTATGGGTGTAGAAATCATCAATCCAGATAAGTATTCCTAAAACTATCAGAGCAAATTGTTTCTCAAAAAAAGAAAAAAACTGTCAGAGAAAATATATCAATCTTGTAAATTTACGAGATAGAGCAATTAACCTTGAACAGTTCCAAGCTTGTATCCAACCACCACCATAATAACCAATGTAAATTCGCAAAAGGTCCTTCCTTTTCTTCAATTATTAACTTTCTTTTCGTTGTAGTACGAGATAGCCATCTTGGACAATGTGTTGAGCAAATCTCGGTTGGTATCAGACACACTCGTCGAGATCCACAGCTCCGGTATGTGTGAGGGCGTTTCGAGAAGTCAACATCACAATCAAATTTGATAGAAGATCAAATTGACACCATAAATCTAATTAACTGATTAGTCAACAAGAGAAATCAATAGGTTTTTTTTTTTTGGTCACAAGAAATCAATAGCTTATAAATCAATTTTTTTTTTTTACCAGTAGCTTATAAATTCATAAGCTAGTGATTTTAAAATATCGTAATTCTTTTGAGGAGCTTAAAATGCTATTTTACTAATGTAGTATTGAAAATGCTATTTTGCTGATCTAGTATATATCTAATTGTGGTTTTCTTTTGTGGATTTGCTGGAAGCTTTGACACTTTAGACTACAAGTTCGTGGTACTATGATGAGACTGAGATAGTTGATACTTGATAGATTATTAGAAT